ATTCTGTTACAGTGTTAAGTGCAGACTAATTTGTTTTCCAGAACATATCATTCTAGCCCTAATTAGTGCTACATTGCCCTGTAAATAATCTTGCAACCTTCTCTTCAAAAAAACGCAACCAAACTTTTATTTATTGTTAATGCACTTTTGGTTCTTGGAGTGTGATGAAATACATGGGCTAGCTGTTGTTGCTTCTTCTGCAACTGCCTTTATTTGCTATATTTCCAGTTACTTTATACAGTCCATTTCTGGAGAGTTGGTATAGCATAGTGGTTCCAGGCCATAGTACACAGCAGTGAGTAGAGGACCTTAACAGGTGTTTTGATGGTCCAGGGTGGGGGGTGGGGAGCTGGCCTCTGATAGTTTGGACCATCTTCCAAGGGTGGGATAAGCACACCAGCCCACCCAAAAAGCTCAGTTGCATTGTTAAAGCTGACAGCACTCACCATTTGCCCTGCAATGTATGAACAACTCCAGGGCTCACTAGCGGCACCCTTTTTGTATCTGGAACCAATCTGGGAGTCAGTCTGAATGGCCATCAAAAAACCCTAATACAGAAATAGCCTTTGTGATTACAGAGTTTTCTAATGAAAGGTTCCTTCAAGACTAGAATTTGTTAATTTCAGTCACAAATTACCCAGCTTGTGAATTCTGTGATGTAGAGAATGCAAGAAAATCATTTTATTGTTCAGCAGACTATAAAAAGGATAAAGGTTCCCTGACCTGTGGTTTGCAGGCTCTCGCTGGGTTAAGTTAATCATGTATCAGTTTACTATAGTTTAGCCTAATTTAAAATTCCGGCTTGCTCCAAAGCTGATAGTGGTAGTTTCCTTGTTTAGAGCAAAAAATAGAGGTCAGTTGGAATGTATTTGTTTATTTCAAAGTTTTATGTGCCACTTTCCAGGGCCAAAACGTTCCCAATGTGGCTTATATCAAAATTGTAATACATAATTTATCATGTATCAATAAAATTACAATAAAAGATCTAAAAATATTAAAGCACATGACCTGGTGATCAATCAGGTGACAGATGTCACAGCCAGATTGCTCTCAAGTTGGAGGGATATTTACTATGTAGACTCCAAGGTTCTAAACTGCATAGGGAGCCTACCCTATATGTTCACAATATCACCTTAGAGTGCAGTGAAACGGTCCCCACCTAGCATTTCATAGCACTTTCCCCCCAGCTGTTCACATCACCACTAATGGCTTCATTAGTATCAATTTGGTTTCTGTTTGTGTACACATCAGGGAGCGTTGACACAACAGGTATGTCTTTACCTTAAGCAAAGGTGTTCACACCTTGGCTAGAGACTAATTAAGAACAGCTCAAGGGCTCTAACTGACATGAAGCTATTTTAATAAACAACGAACTAAATACTGACCCTTTCTCTCATTCAGTGCAATATTATCCAGATGGCAGACTGCGCAGTTGCCTCTGTGTGCCTCCTCCAAAAACAGGCAGCAGCAGAGTTTTCAGTTTTGTAGCACTTGCATTAGAGAAATAAAAATCTTCCTTTCTGAAGGTATCTGGTTCCATAGCTGCTAGAGAAGGGGGACTGAACATGCATTTCTCCTTCTTCCTGTGCAGATGTCACAGCCAGTAAAGTCAGTTTACATGGTTTTTCTATCCTAATAATATCCTATCTTGACTCTAAGCTTATTGATTTGAATGCTCTTTAGACGTTTTCCTAACTGTGTGGGAGATTCTGATTTATAAGTGATTGCCCCTATACAGCTGGGAGAAATGTTGATTGACTCAGCCACACTCCCAGAGCCCAGTCCCTAAATTGGCAGTGTGCCAGCAGCAGGAATGCCAATCCTGTGAGAAAAGCCAAAGGGACCCTGCTCTGCTCAGATAATTGGGTCTTTTTTATCTTTTCCCCAGCTGCATGAAAGCTATCTTATGGCTAAGGAGCTCCCAAGGGTCTGGGTGAACATCTCAAAGGCACAGTGTGTGTATGGCAAATCGAAAGTTAGGGGAGCACTGAAAGTCAGCTTGTCCTGCAATATCACGTGTTTCCGTCTTTTATTCAAGGACAAGAGCAGGTTGTTCATTTAGTGAAGTTTACTGTTTATGGGGAAAAAGAAGGGTGTGTGACTAAAGCATCCTGGAACTCCTCATTCACTTTGCCAGCAATTGGTAGCAACTCTCAAGCAACTTCTACATCTAATTGTGGAAACAAGCTGTATAAGTTTTTTAAAAATATTGCTATATTCTGTAGTCATTGAAACTAAAGGGAATATATAACCAGGTAGGGTGTTTTTAACTGTGTGCACTGTGGCATAGCTCTATCCCACCGGGACTGCAGTGCAGTGTGATTGATGTGAAGCGTCTCTCTGTTCTGGCACAGCATCACTGGCATGCTAAATAAGAAACAGCTGATGGCTGAGGCGCCATTGAGAGGAGAATCATAGTGAATGCTGAATGTCTTTTCTAGTGTGTTCAGTATTTCAGTGGTGCTGCAGTGGCATAAAAATAAATGTACTTAACAAAAAAGCTGAGCCAAGGGACTGCTGATGAAGGCGAAGGATACAGAATGCACCTCTGCTGAAGATTTGAGGGCAGACTGCATTTTTTGTTTGCAACCAGGACTGCCAAGTGGATGAATCAGTTATTTGTGTGGGGTTTTAAAATATATTTCTTCCATGCTTTAAGGAATATTGTTGGATTTCAGCTTTATTTGTGGAGAAATAAATATGTGGCTGGCTTCCAGTTCTCCTCTCCGTAGCTGTGCTGATGGAAGTGATATTTCTAATCACTATTAATGAAGTTGCTAATGCTCTGATTTCCTTCCCCCCACCCCTACCCCCAGAAATGATTGCTAATATGAATGGCTAGCATGTGGAAGATTGTAGTCAGAGCCGGTTTATTACACCAGTGTTTTTTCTAGTAAACTAGAATTATATGATGCTTAAGCAAACTTCATGATCATGGCTGAAAAAGAGAGGTGAATGGACTTAGGATGTTCCCGAAATGTGATTTTTGATGTGTTTCACGTCACCTGGAAGATTTGGGTTTTTCTGTCAAGTCTTGCCGTCTACATGTGCTGCCCACGATCTCTTCAATGTCGGATGGAGATTAAGAAAGCAAGGGTAATCGTAAACTTTCGAAAAATATTTACTGCTATAGCTTTTCCTGCTTCTTATACCTTTGTTTACATTTGTGTGTGTGTGTGTGCAGAAACAAGAGTATTAATCCTTCAGAGGTTCTTGACACAAAAGGGGTTAAATAGTGAGTTGTTAATTGTATATCTTGGTTCTTGAATTGCTCTTTGATGATAGATGCTTATTGAGTTTTGTTAAAAACTCAGTTCTTTTAATACATAGTGGATGTTTTATAATTGCGTAATAAATTTGAGAGATATACATACAATCAAATGTACAAATGACCTTCGCAAATACTGTAATCTTAAACTCTCTAATTCTTGCTTGCTGGAAATCTGGTAACACAGAAATGCATAATGATTTGACTCTCAGCTGGAAGAAATATTTGAGGCTAAAGACTTCTGTTTTGAAACTGTATCTCTGCCTTTCAGTGGCAAGGTCATGATAACAAGCATAGCTGCTGAACCTTTTGCATTGCAAGATGAGTGATTAAATGTATGTGCATGAATGTTTTAACAGTGCAATTGCATGCACACTTACCTGAGAATAAGCCCAATTGAACACAATGGGACTTACTTCAGAGTAAACATGCACAGGATTAAACCCTAAGGTGTGTGAAGTTACATATGTCTGTTGTGCATCCTTTCTCTCTCCAAAACATTTTCTTCTTGTATTGTTGATGTTTCATATGTTTGCCAGCTGTGTGCATTGAGCAAAATAATCTTAATAGTAAACATGAGAATTGGTTGTACTCATGCCGAGTCTTACTAATACCATACTAAGGTAGTGATTTCTGCATACTTGGGGTATGAGAAAAGAGTTGTGGGGGACTTTTTTTATCCCCAAATGGCCTAATGAGATTTTTTGCTTAGCATCTTCCAGAAATTGTCAAGGGCAGTTGACCCATGAAATGCTGAGGATGTTGGGGGTGGAATGTCATAGGGGAAGTATTAGTCAGCACAAGCCCCTGACAGATTGAACCCCAGGAGGTGTCTGTTAAGGCTGGTAGAGAGGTGCAGCATGCAGTTAGCCCCCTTCCCTGTGCTATATGGGGAGAGCTCAGGAGACAGTAAAGGACAACAGACGGTTTTTTACCTCTCTCCACAGTTTATAGCAATCTTCAGAAATCACCTAATCCACCATGAACCTGCACAACCTTTGAGATAGGCTGCTGAGACCCTGCTAAGTTTTGTCTTTACATCAGATCAGATAGGTGAGCATGAGAGAGGGGGGAATTTTTTTGGCAGAGACATCAAAATAGTAGAATTCCCTCCCAATGGTGATCCTCTGGGCCTCTTTCTGTTTTGATCCGTTGCTTGCTGCTGTCTTTAGCATTTTTGTTTAATTTCATGTCTGATTGCCTTCCTACCAGTAACACTTTACATGTTTTAAATGGAAAAGGGGAAATGATAACAACAACAACAACATACTCAGGTTTAATCTTGCTCTCTCTGACATCTTTTTGGGGACTGCTCTTTGTTGTTTGGGCAGGAACATAAATGCATTTGGCTTTTAATAATTTTTGAAATGTTAAGGTTGTTTGTCTTAAGTTTTTGTAAGGTATGTTTTTTTAGTACATGAATTTTGTATTTGTGTGTTATCCTTTCTAAGTCATCCTGGGGGCCTTTGGGGGCCAAAAGCTGACAGCCAAACTTGGACTTGCACCCATTAGCACTATAGGGCACACTGTGGAAAGTATTCAGGATGGTGGTTTTGCTTTATCCCCACCTGAAACCTTCTGGGAGAACCAAATAACACTACAAGCCAGTTGGAGTCCTGCATAGGGTCCCCTGTTGGGGACTGGGATACATTGGAACTTCTATACTTGTATTATGAAATCAATGTGTTGGTTTTATGATTCTAAACGTAAGTATTTTGTCTAAAATTTACAGGAGCCCAGTAATAAGCGGGTCAGGCCTCTTTCTAGAGTGACATCACTAGCAAGTTTAATTCCTCCTGTTCGAGCAACTCCTTTGAAACGATTCGGTCAGACGCTTCAGGTAAAACCGATTTTTTAATTAATTAAGTAGGGTTCAATACAAGGGATACAACATGTCTTATTTCTTGTATTGTTTGTAAAGCATTTATTTTTGCATATTGCTCATCTATATGGAAGTAATGAAAAGCACTTTATTAATAATTTTCACTTTCAGTAAAAGCAAGTGTTTGATTTCTGCTCGATAACAATTTCTGTTATACAAGGTTGTCTCCAATGCTACTTCTACATAGAATAGACCCATTGAAATCAATAGACATTACTAACTTGAATCCATTACTTTTAATGGATCTATTTTGAGCAGAACTAGTATAGGAGACAACTCCTAACTCCTCCTTTTTGATGCAACTGTGTCAGTTCTTATTCCAAAATATTAAAGAGTATTGTGTGAATAAACAGCAGTTTTACTTTGTCCTCAACAAGATGACAATTAACCTTACTATCAACCCTAGCAAAGCAATAACTATTTTATTTTTATTTTTCACAGCGTTCCATCAGTTTTCGCAGTGACAGTCGGCCAGATCTGCTTGCCTCAAGACCCTGGACTAGAAATGTACCCCCTGCTAGCACCAAGCGAAGAGACAGTAAACTTTGGAGTGAGACCTTTGATGTTTGTGTCAATCAGATGCTGACATCCAAAGAAATCAAGCGGCAAGAGGTTTGCTTACTTATATTCTCTTTGGACTTGCCTGAAATGGCATTAAGGAATGCAAGTGAAGATACGCATGTTTGTGTATAAACTTTTTTTTAGTCCCATTTTTCCCTCCTTGGAAGAACTAGCCACCACCCATCTCCTTTGCACACATGAAAACACTGAAATGCACCATCACTCCTTGCAATCACTCCAGGCTTTAAAAGCAGCCATCACAGCCTTCGAAGACAACACAGTGCATTCTTGCATTCCTGAAGCGAGAGAAGGCAGAAGCTAATAACTGGCTCTTTCAAGCTGAGGGAAACAGGGCTAACTGTCTTCACATCTTCACTGGAAAAAAAGAATTCATAATAAAATATTTTAGAAATGGAGGAAATGCCATGCACAGCATCGCATGGCATTCCGTTCTAGCTTAGCATAGGATGCTGAATCATACAAGTACCCTTTATTAAAAGGCCCCAGGGCATAGTCTGAAGGCACATGATTTAGCAGTCTGCCGAAGCTAAGCCAGTCTGGTATGTGTCTGATGGGAGACTGCCTGGGACCGCCATTTACAGTGGTACCTCGGGTTAAGAACTTAATTCATTCTTAACCTGAAACTGTTCTTAACCTGAGGTACCACTTTAGCTAATGGGGCTTCTCGCTGCCGCGCGGCCACGCAATTTCTGTTCTCATCCTGAAGCAAAGTTCTTAACCCGAGGTATTATTTCCGGGTTAGCAGAGTCTGTAACCTGAAGCATCTGTAACCTGAAGCATCTGTAACCCGAGATACCACTGTATTTTATGAGTTTAAGTTTTGTATGCCACCTTTCACCAGTAGGCTCTCCACCATTATTTTAGGGATGAGTTTCATCACAAAGGGAAGGATATTAAATAAAGGACATTACTTTAATAGACTTAAAGCTTGGTCTCATTTTTTATCTTCTATTGCTTTGACAGTTAGGAATGGAAGAATCTGACAATTTCATTTCTCAGTAATTATTTTAATTCAGTTCTCTGCATTTCAGCAATTTGCAAATTTCTTTTTAAAAACTCATAAAAATTCTTCAGCAATTTAGGGTGGATTTTTCCTAATAAATGAAATTTTGCATGCAGTTTTGATTAATCACATAATTTTGCAATCACTTTCTCCAAATATAGTGCATTTTTGAATGTTAATATGCATAATATTTTGTAAACATTGCCTGGTTGGATAACTGTATTGTAAAATTAAGATGTGCAGAAATTTCAGTGGGTGGCTATGTTGTGCCCCCCCCCCCAAAGTGCAAATTTGAATGATTTGGGTTTAAATGCTAACTGAATTGTGTTTACCCCCAACCCCATTTGGCACTGTGGCAATCTGGACTTACCATTTATCCATAGTTTTAAAATGTTACTTGAGAAATTTTGAAACTGCAAATTTATCAAGGTTATATCTTCTGTTATAGGCAATTTTTGAACTTTCACAAGGAGAAGAAGACTTGATAGAAGACCTGAAGTTAGCAAAGAAGGTATTCTATACCCTTAATTATTGTGTGCCTCTATTGAATTTGTTCACAGGCAGTTTCTGTGATCTGTGTGTACAGATTAATTCAAATATATAAAAACTTTAAGGCACAAGAGCCAGAATTTAAATGCTATCACCAATAATGGAATTTCAAATATGTATTTATTTAATGATTTTTCTATCTTTGTGCAGGCTTACCATGACCCAATGCTTAAACTTTCCATCATGTCAGAGCAAGAATTAAACCAAATATTTGGGACACTGGACTCTTTAATTCCTTTGCATGAAGGTATAATTCTTTCTATTCTATATGCAGTTGCTAAGTGCCAAATAAGTTTGAGGAGCATTGTTTGAGGAACAGTTGAATTATATTGGGCTGCAGACTGGATAAAAACCTCTACAAAATTTATCTGTGGAGGAAAAATGTACATTGAAATGGACACTTTTTATTTTACCTTCACTACAGAAACATTAGTGTCATTAGTTGTCATTCCTGTCTCTTGACTCCACAGCTTCCAACTTCCATTGTCAGTACTGACACACATCTGGGAATCGGTTTGGGTGCTATCAGAAATTATATTTACACGGTTAAAGTTTCATTACGAGAGTTGAATGTTCTCAACAGAACTTAAGTCACAAAAAAATAGATGGAAGTAGATGTCTAAATGCTGGGGGGGGGGACAGCGACTTTTCAACCCAATATAGGTTTTCGAGAGGCATATTGTAAATATTTGTGCATTTCAACTTCTTAATAAGATTTGTATAATCATGATTGTGTGTGTGTGTGTAGATAGCAGATGGTATTCATATGTTTCTAGACAGATTAGATATAACTATTCATTGAGTCTCCTAAAATTACTGTTTTTAGTTGAAAGAAATTACAAGGAAGGGCTCTGATTCAGATTTGGAGCACCTGTGCTGGGGAAGAGGGTTGACGCATTCATGTCTGTGTGAAAATTTAACTCCTGACCTAATTTTTCCTCCCCCTGGATGGGGGATAAATACCAGCATGATACCAGCTGCATTTCCCCCTAGGTGAGCCTACTAGCAGCTTCTTTGGGTGGGATTTTGGTTGGGAAAGCAGTTGTGGTGAGGAATGGTTACACCCTCTTCTTTTCTGTAGCACTACTGCTTCCGTCAAAACCAGAGTTCTCGGTTCCTCTTTGTTAAAAATAGAAACGTGGGGAAAACTAATCACAGTTCTCCCGTGCCTTGTATAGTTTGGCACTGAAAGAGGAACACTAGCAGGGTGTATCACCCAAGTTTGTGTATAGCCGTTTTCTCATGGGATAGCTCACTGCTTTGTGAAAATAGGGGTGTTGCATCATTTGACAGGAGTTTTATTAGCAAATAGTGATAAACAGGCAGATGGTCAAAGGCAATGAAAGGCTCTCAAACAGTACTTGACAGGTTGAACTTTACTATAGAAGAGTCCTCAGTATTCTTTTACAAGCTGACCCCACCCCAATTAAGTTTTTCATGTTTTTCATGTATTTACATCAGATCTTCTTAGACGGCTAAAAGAAATTAGGAAGCCTGATGGATCTACAGACTGTGTTGGTCACATCCTTGTGGGCTGGGTATGGAAAACTTTCACAAATGGTTAATTTTGTTTTCTTTTTATATGCTTCCTCATTTTTAAGGTTATAAAAGTGAAAACTAGCAATAGTAAAATGTGCAAAGAATGGGCAGCGATATTGGGATTAACGAAAAATCTTGTTGCAATATTTTTAGGTGAATTGCATCAGTTAATTAATCTAAGCCATGTTTGATCTGAGAACTAGTACCAAGCAGTAACACTGCAGGAAGGGTAAGGATATGAGGACTAACTCTGTGTTACATAGGCAGAGCCAGGAGTCAAGATCAGTAGTGGCCAGTGTGGTGGGGCAGAGCCATGCAGCTGCCCTCCTGATACCAGCACCACTACTGCTTACCTGCATATGGCTAAGGCAGGACAGTGTTGAAGTTGGAGCTTTGCAGATGCACCAGCACAAGAACCAGATTGGCTCCCCCAGCGCATCTGCGCAGTCCTGACCTGGCCTCTATGTTGTCCTGACAGACCCCTATCCAGATAAACTGTACAATGCTAGTGACAGGACAGCAGTTGTGAACCACCATGCCAGCTACTAATGGACAAGTTTCAGCTCACTTTGTGAATGCCACAGCCAGATTCCCATACTGGCAAACAGTAAAAGTTTCCATATGTTTTTTTATTATTTATTGAATTTATATAGCACCCTTCATCCAAATATTAGAGGGTGTGATCTGTTTCGTAAGAGTTAGCTGTATTGATACAATAGTAGAAACCACCCATTGCTACTACCAACTGGAGAGCCTGCATCATAGCTCTCCCCCAGACTAGTAAGAATGCATAATAGGGCCTTCTGGGCAGCAACTTCACAGTGATGGAATGCAATTCCTGCAGAGACTGCTATCATCTCTTGGTGTTGCCTATGTATTTTTAAAGGTTCCGTGGAACAGATTTGCATTTTAAAATATTGTAAGCTGCTTTGTGTAGAACTTTCTCAAAGAGTGGAGCATAAATAAATGAGTGCATCTGGCAATATGGTGTTCCTAGGCAAAGTGTAGCATCCTAGTAGGTAATACCAGTATGCCACATGGATTTTTGTGTTTTACTGGCTCAACAGATGTTACACCATTCTAAACACCTGCTTATTGGATTGTAAGTTTCTAAGAAATATTCCCAGTGACATTACACTGCTAGATGGTAATAAGTGACAAATTCAGGCTTCTAACCAGTATCGTCCAGTAGTAGCAATTATCATCAATTGTATTTTCAATCAGATGGGTGGGGTGATGATGATGATGATGATTATGTTAATTCCATATATTTATTTTTCCTTTAGTTGCCTTGTCTAAATTCCTACGATAGTTACTGTAGCAACCAGGTAGCTGCCAAAACTTTGCTGGACCAGAAGAAGCAGGATCATCGAGTTCAAGACTTCTTACAGCGTTGTCTAGAGTCACCTTTCAGCCGTAAACTGGACCTCTGGAATTTCCTTGATATCCCAAGAAGCCGTCTAGTGAAGTACCCACTACTGCTTAGAGAGATTCTGCGACACACGCCAAACGATCATCCAGACCAACAGCACATCGAAGAAGCTGTATGTGTTTCAACTAATTAATACCTTATCTAAAGGGCAAATCATTAGGAGTAGATTCACATATCTTCTCTCAGAAAGATGTGTGTATATTTCCCTTCTCTTGTTAGATTTCTGTGACTTTTTAGGCATCGGGTATTTTAAATTGGGACGCGGGTGGCACTGTGGGTAAAACCTCAGTGCCTAGGACTTACCGATCGTATGGTCGGCGGTTCAAATCCCCGCGGCGGGGTGAGCTCCCGTCGTTCAGTCCCAGCTCCTGCCCACCTAGCAGTTCGAAAGCACCCCTAAGTGCAAGTAGATAAATAGGTACCGCTTTATAGCGGGAAGGTAAACAGCGTTTCCGTGCGCTGCGCTGGTGCAGGCTCGCTAGAGCAGCTTCGTCACGCTGGCCACGTGACCTGGAAGTGTCCTCGGACAGCGCTGGCTCCCGGCCTCTTAAGCGAGATGAGCACGCAACCCCAGAGTCGGTCACGACTGGCCCGCAAGGGCAGGGGTACCTTTACCTTTACCTTTATTTTAAAATTGCTTTACACTGAGTAGCTCAAGTGGCCCTTGGAATGCACTTTGCAGAGGAAGTATCCACTGACCTGGTGTGTATATGGATTCTGCCATTCCTTTGATAGATGTGATTTGTGTGAGTGTGCCAGGTGCAACATGTGCCATTACATTCATGCAAACTGCTACTGGAAGTACTGGTTGCATCTTTGGACATCCTGGGTCATTTGCTTTCTCCCTGTAGCCACTTCCCTGATGCAAGGCTGATAGCTTAATATATTGTTGCATGCAATCATTGGTGATATCCAAAGCCTTATATGTGTTGTGGCTTTTAGTTGCCTATTATGAACATAATGCAGCTTTCCCCAGCTAAATTTTCCAAAATTGATCAAAAATTAGTGTTTTAACAGTACCACTCATCTGTCATGTTCAAATAGCAAGGGCACAAGAGAGCTGTTCTCATTATTCCTACACAATTTTGGAGCTCCTTCTCCTTGAAAATGTGGTGAAGCCTGAATTTGGGCATCTTTCAGAAAGCCTTTAAAACTGTTTTTCTTTCAGGTTTGTTTTTTTTAAAAGCTTCAGTTAAACAAGAAGCTTGGGGAAAATAGGTTTAATATTTTTTCTAATTCAAGGAAATTGTGGGAAGAAACTTCACATCATTGGCCTTCAGATTTTATTTTTTAGAACGCATTCCTATTACCGTATTTTTCCCTCTATAACACGCAGATTTTTTCTCCTAAAAAGGAAGGGGAAATGTCTGTGCGTGTTACAGAGCGAATGTGTGGTCCCTGGAGCCAAAAAATCAGACAAAAATCGAATCGGGCTTCACGGAGAAGGGAAACCTGAAAAGAGGAAGTTGCAGCTTTCCTGCATTCTGCCTCAGGGTCTTACTGCCCACCCTCCTCTGTTTCCTTGCTGTGTTTGCTCAAACGGAACAAAGAGCAGGGAAAGCCCCTCCCCTCCAGGCAAGCAGAGTGTCGTTCTTTCTAATTTCTCTCTGTGCTCCGGTGCTGCTGGGGGAGAGGGAGAGAGAGTGGGGGAGGGAGAGGGAGGGGGGAGGGAGAGAGAGGGGGGAGAGAGGGGGAGGGAGGGAGGGAGAGAGAGAGAGAGAGATGGCTGGCTTGGGGGGGGAACTTTTGCCTTTCTTTCCTCACTCCCGTTAAATCCCTCCCTCATTCTTAGCCAGCTGCTTCTCTGCACACCCCTCTCATGTCCCTTCTTTGTTTTTCCTTCGCTCCCCACTTAAAATGTGGTTACAAAGCATAGATCAACATGGATCCTCAGGATCTTTGCATTGGGTCACCCCAAATTCACCATCAGATCACATAGCATGTCCATGGCTACAGCCTGCCCCCCCCAAAATCACGCACCCACTGTTGCCTGGGGCTGCAATGGTGCAAAAACGTGGTTAAAAAGCATGGATCCACAGGGATTCTCAGGATCTTTGCATTGGGTCACCCCAAATTCACCATCAGATCACATAGCATGTCCATGGCTACAGCCTGCACCAAAAAAAGCACGCACCCACTGTTGCCTGGGGCTGCAATGGTGCAAAAATGTGGTTACAAAGCATGGATCCACAGGGATTCTCAGGATCTTTGCATTGGGTCACCCCAAATTCACCATCAGATCACATAGCATGTCCATGGCTACAGCCTGCACCAAAAAAAGCACGCACCCACTGTTGCCTGGGGCTGCAATGGTGCAAAAACGTGGTTAAAAGGCATGGATCCACAGGGATTCTCGGGATGTTTGCATTGGGTCACCCCAAATTCACCATCAGATCACATAGCATGTCCATGGCTATAGCCTGCACCCAAAAAATCACGCACCCACTGTTGCCTGGGGCTGCAATGGTGCAAAACCGTGGTTACAAAGCATGGATCCACAGGAATTCTCAGGATTTTTGCATTGGGTCACCCCAAATTCACCATCAGATCACATGTCTGTGGCCACAGCATGAAGCACAAAAATGATACATCCACTGTTTCATTCAGAATGTTTTTTCCCTTGCTTTCCTCCTCTAAAAACGATGTGCGTGTTATGGTCAGGTGCGTGTTATAGAGCGAAAAATACGGTACATACTGCATCCTAAACTGCTGTTTAAACTTGAGAGAGTATAAACTGTTAAACTGCTTGGGCTCTGTAACATGCAAAAAAGTAGCAGTTATCTAGGAATACAAAATACAAAGCCCTGCTGTTTATATGTAAGCAGAAAGGAACGATGGGGATTTAAACTCTTTATTTAGATTAATTGAATAAAGGAGTTCTGTTTGCACGACAGATTTCCTCTCACATATATGTAGCATACGCCTGCTCACAGGACATAATGAAGAAGTTCTTGCTTATAGAATTCCTGTGCATGCATTGGAGCCAGATTGATGCTTAAAATGGAAAAGCCATATTGAAGTACCAAACACTCACATGGCCTCTTTTTGCTCATAACAGAAGACCATCCACCCATTTTGTTTTTCCAACTATAAACCTATTAAGAAATGCTTTCAAAATTGGCTTGGCAATTTATGACTTATTTGTAACCATTCTCCCCCTCCCCAGATTAATATTGTCCAAGGAATAGTGGCAGAAATCAACAAAAAGACGGGTGAATCTGAATGCCAGTATTACAAAGAGAGGCTAATTTATCTTGATGAAGGCCAAAAGGACTCCTTGATAGATGATTCACGTGTTGTGTGCTGTCATGGTGAACTAAAGAACAACCGGGGAGCGGTAAGGAATTAATTTTTTAGGAAACACAAAATATTGTTTTACCTCTTTCTTAAGTACTGTTCTCTTTTATAATCAGTGAACTGCTTCTTTTTAAATGTAAGGTTGCAATGGTTTGCTTTTGGATGGCTGTCATGGGGAAATATTATCAAGTCTCAGAAGTGAGAAAGAGATGCTAACTGCTTTTAATTTAGGGTTTAAAAAAAAGCAGGCTTAACAGGGGTTAGAATAAGGGTGGAAAATAGAATAGCTCTTCCTCATTGTGGGTAAGAGAGAAGAAACTGATCTTTATCTAATTTTAACACCACTGTCATATTTGTGCCTTTACTGTGGAACACATTTCTCAGAGTGCTTGTAAGACGCCATCCTTGCACACTGTTGTTGTTGTTAGGCAAGATTTAAATATACTAGTACTTTCTTCCATCCTGGAACTTAAGACAGCATATATCCAATTCCCTGGTGGGATTCCCATACAGTCAGTGGCCTAGACTCAAACTTCCTTACCTTCAGCAGGGTGGTTGCATCATGTGCCTTCAGACCATGCCCTTGGACAATTTCCACCCATCTTTGGTAGTATTATTTAACTAGATGCTAGTTTGTTTTTTTAAAAATAACCCTTGAGAAGTGATAAGCAAAAAATGTATGAGTGACAACTCACAATTATTATTATTTTTTGTCAGAAATTGCATGTGTTTCTCTTCCAAGAAGTACTGGTAATTACTCGAGCTGTTACACAGAATGAACAACTCTGTTACCAATTGTATCGGCAACCCATCCCTGTGAAGGATCTTGTGCTAGAAGACTTGCAAGATGGAGAGGTGCGATTGGGTGGATCCATACGTGGTGCATTTAGCAACAATGAGAGAAGTAAGAATCCATTATATTATATCTCTTTTATAAAATATTGAAATTTAGTCATGCACCACAATACCCTTCCAATATCTTTTCTGGAAGTATAAGCCAGCATGTCTCATTCATATAAAAAAGGTAAACTAATTTTTCACTTTTAAAAAAAGAAGAAACAAGATTTTCAAAAAGTAGTATGTCAGCTTACAAAAGCAAAACATGACAGGAAAGACAAAAGATACCTTCATGTTTTCTATTGGATACTCTTGCAGGAGTTGGTTTTAAATGATAATGCTAAGAACCTACTGCTCCAGTCTCTTCTCACCAGTGGTGACAGACGTTGAGCTTTAAAATTTTAGCAGCTCCCTGTGCAACACCAGAATTTGGCGCCTCCCACCACTGCCACCTCTTGCCTTTTGTTGCTCGTCATTGCTGAAGTGTCCTCTGTGGCACCCTCTCTGCTCAGTGCCCAGTTTGGACAAACCAGTTGCACTTCCCTAAATCCGTCACCAGTGAGAGTTGGTGAAAGAGTTTATCAAGAGTAAATGGCTGCCATCACTATTGGAAGAAAGGACAGCCCCCCATGACCTTGTCCAGCAGCACTGAATTAACGAGGACAGCACTGTGCATATTCCCAGATACTGACAAAATACCATGAAGACCAGTGGCATGCTTCTCACAAATGTCATTCCTCTCTTTGTCATTCAGTGGTTGCTTGTACTTATTATCATTACATCATCTGACTGGCTGCTACTGATTGCCACAGATAGAATCATAGAATCATAGAGTTGGAATAGACCACAAGGGCCATCGAGTCCAACCCCCTGCCAAGCAGGAAACACCATCAGAGCACTCCTGACATATGGTTGTCAAGCCTCTGCTTAAAGACCTCCAAAGAAGGAGACTCCACCACACTCCTTGGCAGCAAATTCCACTGTCGAACAGCTCTTACTGTCAGGAAGTCGAACAGAGCTGTTCGACAGTGGAATTTGCTGCCAAGGAGTGTGGTGGAGTCTCCTTCTTTGGAGGTCTTTAAGCATTGCTGAATTTTTGTGTGCGACTTTTGTTAGAATAAAATAAAATGGTGGGGAAAGAGGTCGATTCTGTAGTTAAAACAAGCTGAAGAAAGCACAAAACATGTTTTCTCTTAAGAGGGACTGCCCAGCTCATAAACCTTGTATAGTGGTCCACCCGTGGCTTAAAACACTACAGTGCTACCTCTAGTTACAGACTCGATCCCTTCTGGGGTGCCGTTCACACCCTGAAAAGTCCGTAACTAGATCGCCGCTTCTGTGCATGCGCATGGCGTGATAGAGTGCTTCTGCGCATGTGCAAAGCGCGCAGAACGCTTCTGCACACACACACACGGTGAAACCCGGAAGTATACACTTCGGGGTTTGCCGCATTCGCAAGCCTAAAAGACGCAACATGAACCTAATGTGACACAAGGTATGACTGTATTTCCTTTTGCTTCTGCTTCCATGGAATTTCTAAACTGTGTGGAAGGAATCATGTGGGAGACTTCGTACATGGATGGTGGGCTGCATTTCTCTTAGTGGGATCCAAGTTGTGCAGTCTTCTGGTACATCATTAATGTGGAAATATGTCTATTAAAAGCAACCACACACACACACACACACACACACACACACACACTGTCCTCTTCCAAGAAGCATTGAATATATTAATGTGGCTCATTTATTTCAGTTAAAAACTTCTTTAGAGTCAGCTTCAGAAAGGGATCTCAAAGCCAGTCTCACTCACTGCAAGCAAATGACACCTTCAACAAACAGCAGTGGCTCAACTGTATCCGTCAAGCCAAAGAATCAGTCTCCTGCGCATCAAGCGAAATCCGGACACTTGATTCTGAAGACCCCTTACTAACATCATCGAGTACATCATCAAGTAGGAACAGAATACCCCGGCAGGAATCTAAGCTTGAGCAAATGGACCAATCAGACAGTGGGTCTGACTGTAGTATGGACATCAGTGAAATCAGCATTGACTGTGACCACATGGAGCAGACATACCCTTGGCAGACTGACAAAGAGATAGAAAGCAATGTCTGACAACAACTGCATAGTGGTCTTCTGTGTCTTACCTGTACAGTATTTGCATTCCGCATATGGAACAAGAAGCACTTTTTAATATTTTTGTCACAATGTCAACTCAGTCTCTATTATATTTGTACCTTTAAACCATAGTACTGTAACTGCTGGTGTGCGTAATTTGATATGGCAACTATAATCCTGTGATAATTCTGTAAACGTCTCTGTGGCTGAGAGAGGTTATTTGACCAATTATTTCCAATGTCTTGCTGGTAGATATGACCTCTAAGCTACTGTTTTTATGCATATTACATACCAAGAATCTCTGTTTTATAAAGTGCCCTATTTTGACCTCTCACAAGGCAACCACACACAAGGACATGAACAAAGCATTTTAAAGCTATCACATCCAGAAATTGTGAATGATGTGTGTAGGTTTCAAAAAAAGCTTGAAAGACTAAAACTAAGAGTCTCATTGATTGGTGACTTTCATCATCTTAATTTAACAGTTATGGCCAGTGCAGAATATGTATTTTCTCAGTTCACAGATGCAAGCTAAAAGGTCATTTGAAAGTAAGTTGTGTGCCAGTACTGAAATTTCAGGTGAAAATTCCAGTTTATATGATGGTGTTTTCTGATAATTGGATGGTAGTTTACCTACTGTCCCATTTAGAATAAAGCATTAAAAGCGTAAAGAAGCTGAAACATCAAAATACTTCATTTAAATTGCTGTGTTTTGTTTTATGTAGCCCTTTCTGTGTGCACAGCCAGACAGTTTGTATGCAAAATGGTGCTTCTAAAATATTAACATTTTAGCTGTATCTAATGTTATACTGCCCTCAGGATAGCCATTTTGTGATGTCTACAAAAATAAGCCTTTCTTCTGTCATCCCAGTGTCCGCTGCCTGCTCTCTTATGTGTGATTCACAGATACAGACACTTCTATTAAAAGACCTGTATGGGGAACCTGTTCAGTGTCATCCTCAAGGCCAGAATTGAGAACAAAGCCCAGGTGGGCTCCCCAGACTTCTGTAACAGGCTTACAGAAAGTTAGGACTGGGACTACACCACATGCTAATAAAAATGTTGATTTCTTATTGGCTCTGTTCAGAGAATTAACCTCCATGTTATTTGGGTGTGTTCTGGCTTAATTATGATTAAAGTAAGGGGTGACTCTAAATTTTATAACTATGGTTTGCAATCATTTTTCTAATGCAACCCACCAGAGGAATTTTGCTTATTCAGGAGTCAGCTACAAACACACACACACACTGCATATTTGTTTCTAAAGACATATGCACACAGCATTCACTATTGCTGCATCTCTAGAAACTCACACCTCAAAAAGTGTTTGACCCACTCTTTCGACCTATTGGTCTGAAAATTACATTTGACTAGCCTGGCACCCTTAAAGTAGGTAAAATGTCAATAAAATTTGTATTTATGAATCAAACTCTAATTTCAAATGTAAGGTTAAACAGTACTGTAATGCTGAATTTGACCCTTTCTAAAGAAGGGTCCTGAAATTTGCAACCTAGTGCACTGAAATGTTATCTGATACCACTATTTCCATTTTCTGCACAGTGTAGAGTCTAACGTCAGCACTGCAGAAGCATTGATATTGCCAAAATACATACTTCATACATTTTACATGTTTACAGAAAAACTGTAAGAGTAAATAAGATGTCAATTTTAATTTGTAAAGATGTTCTGCTGTGTTAGAAGAATCGTGCTGAGATAATTGATAAGAAAGCAGGTTACCTATATTTTTTCAAACAAAATTATGGTCAATTTTACTCTATAGAACATATTTCTGTATGTATAGGTTTTAAATATGGTTGTTTTCTATTTCAGGCTTGTAATTTATTTTAATTGCTTCATTTTGGAAGTTGAGTATTAGCCAATCCAGAGTAAGTGGAAGTATTTTTCAAAATAGAAGGAAGTAGAAAGTATATTAGGATGTGAACTACTGAAATGACAAATACTTGCCAAAATGTTGGAGATACTGTGTAATGTCTTCATTTCTTAAAAATAATTGATGTATTGATTAAATCTCTCTCTCTTTTTTTTTTGCATAATAGCCTTACACTGTTCTCAAAGCATTTCAAATAAATTACACTGAACTGTCTATTTTTTAAATATATTGTTGCTTAATATGCAAAGCCAGATAACCTCACTTTACAAACTTTCTGTGATTTCTGACATCTGTTTACAGTAATATTTACATTCATTTATAGCTAAACTGAGGATACTTTTAGTAATCAAAACTAATATAACAAGTTACTAAGATGCAAATAAATTGAATAGACTTTTTCAAACGATATATATTTTAAAAAAATATAAGTTATCTGTATCAGATGTAATGTGAAAAGTTACCAGTAGAAAGCAATGCATCTTGTATTCCTATTAGAAATATTTTGTGCGGTATTCTTCAGCTTTAGTTCACGGCAAGGTCTTGCTCTTTAATTAGATAGACCAGAAATACGGATTTTAAGACTTATGACAAACACCCTAAATGTGCTCCTCTGGGTTAATTTATAACACTTTCCTTTTAGTTTTCAGTGTAGCAGCACAGCCTGGTTCCCCAACCGTTTTGGATCTCGGTGCAGTTTGAAAAATCTAAGAAAGTGCCATGGGGACCACTGCAGAAAAATTGGTGATTCCAAGAACCCCTCCCCCCAAAAAACCCATGTACCCCCCAAAAAAAGGCTAAAAACTAGACAAACCCACAAAGAAAACCACAGGCAAATAACAACAAAAACCTGAAAAATTAAAATGGGTGAAGCAGGGTAACTTAGTGGGTGCCAAGGATGTGCCTGAGATTGCTGTGGTGCCCATGGCCACCACATTGGTGATGCCATGAATAGCATACATTTTTAAAAGTGCTTTTATTACAGTATCATATGCATGCTGTTTAAAGCCTACAAAGAGAAATCTGTTAAAATACTAGGCCCCACCAACTTATAAAAGAGGGTATCAGAACTGTTTAAAGTGCTTTTTTGAGGGATGAGAACATCTGTGTGTGGGAAAAGTATTTGGCGAATAATTCAGTTGAACTGGAATTTATTTGAGTGGAATCTGTGAAGGAATTTAACTTAACTCACCTTACCCTACAATGAGTGTTTGGTTGCATTAGGGAATGTGGAATCAACCAGCTAATTTAACAGCTTGGGGCTGAGACCACACCCTTGCCTTATATTGTTTGTGGTCTTGGTGAAGCCCCTTTATTCCATCTACTCCAGATAATGTGGACCTCATCGTACTCTCCAACATTTCTCCAATGAAAATAGGGACGTCTCATTCTATAATGATAATTTGACTATTTATACCCATCTATACCATTTATACCCATATTTATACACATCTTATTGGGTTGCCCCAGCAGCCTAAGCAGTTTACAACATATACAAAAGCATAATAAAACAATAAGCATTTAAAACAACTTCCCTATACAGGATTGCCTTCAGACAGCTTGGGGGTTGGATAACTCCATACCCTCCAACATTTCTCCAATGACAATTGGGACATTTTAAGGAAACGTGGGATCAAATCAGAAACCGGGACGGCTTCTCTAAATCAGGGATGCCCCTGAAAAATAGGGACACTTGGAGGGTCTGCCTCACTGGAGAGAGAATACCACAGATGGGGAGCCACAATGGAAAATGCTCCCTCTCTTATTGCCACACTCCAAACCTCAGAGAAAGCACCCTGAGAAGAACCCAAGGGTCCAGGTAGGTTCATATTGGGAGAGACGATCCAAAATATATTGGGCTCCTGAGCTGTAAAAGTTCTTATAGGTTAAATCCAGCTAAGAATGTACCTTTTCTGATAGGGCCTGGACAATTAAGATATTCTGGACACCTGAACACAATCTCCTGCTTCAAGGGTAGAGTCCAAATCTTGGTAGATACATGCCTTGCAAATGTGTCACAGGGGCCTTATACAGTGGTACCTCGGGTTAAGTACTTAATTCGTTCCGGAGGTCCATTCTTAACCTGAAACTGTTCTTAACCTGAAGCACCACTTTAGCTAATGGGGCCTCCTGCCGCTGCCGCGCTGCCACAGCACGATTTCTGTTCTCATCCTGAAGCAAAGTTCTTAACCTGAGGTACTATTTCTGGGTTAGCCAAGTCTGTAACCTGAAGCGTATGTAACCTGAAGCATATGTAACTCGAGGTACCACTGTATCGGTCTATTCCCTCTCTAGGACCAGCATGTAATAAGCCACTGGCTACCTGGGACAAGTCTGCTTTACAGCAAACTAAGGACACAATGGCCTCCATCGCCATTGCATAGGCTTGAACATCAGCATATAGCAATGTCCGATTGCATTCACTGTGAGTTTTTCCTCCACTTGTGCTCAAGCCATCTGCTTGCCTGCTTCCTTATTCTCAGCTCCAGGGTGTAGCAATTAGAAAAAAGTAGGGTATAAAATCAGTAATTAAATACCTTAAAGTGCACTTTGAAGCACAGCCTATACCTGAACCAGAAGGTGAAGAGCAAAAGTCTATGAAGACTTCATAAACTGGGGCCTTAAATCACACATGCCGGGACCCAAAGAACCATGGCACTAGTTTCATGAGCTGGAGGGGCATGGGCCTGTTAAAACATTTTTTCCTTAAGCAGTAGCCCCCTGTACACAATAGTAAACTCACTTGCAAACTGAGAGAACCTCTCACAAGCACTTTCTTCCATGGCATGGAGAATAGCTGTTAAAGTATGGGGTATAAGAATGGTGCTAGGAAAGTCTGTTGGCATAAGCCTCAGTAGCTGGCAAGATTTGAGCCACAGATCACAATTTAGATGATGTGGGTTTTTTTGTTAAATGTAGCACAGTAGAGAACACAGTGATGTTGTTAGACTGTTGCTGCCATCTGCTGGGTAAAATGTAAGTGATCTCTGGTACAGTGGTGCCTCGGGTTACAAACTTAATTCATTCCGGAGGTCCGTTCTTAACCTGAAACCATTCTTAACTTGAGGTACCACTTTAGCTAATGGGGCCTCCTGCTGCTGCGCCGCCAGCACACAATTTCTGTTCTCATCCTGGGGCAAAGTTCTTAACCCGAGATACTACTTCCGGGTTAACAGAGTCTGTAACCCAAAGTGTTTGTAACCCGAGGTGTTTGTAACCCAATGTACCACTGTACTACAACTAAGTTTCGTTAACATGTTACCCTGAATTTTTAATGGCACAAAACAAGTACAAAACTTTGCTATCAATCTGGAGGGGATCAAAAATTTCAGGGTTACATATTAATGTAATCTAGTAGCTTATTCTACTACTGTTCAAATTGAGCTATACACAATGATTAAAATCTAAAGATCCATTTTACATTGATTTTCTACACACACACACACACCCTGGATATTTGAAGTATCCATTTTACAGTGAAATATGTAACTAGGAAAAAGTAAAATGTAACTATGAAGAAAATGTTATTAGAATAAGCCTATCGTGTCCAACATTCTGTTCTCACCGTGGCCAGCCAGATGCCTATGAAAGTAGACCACAAGCAGGACATGTGAAACCACACTCTCTAACACGTGATCCCTATCAACTGGTATGCAGATGCATACTTTGTCTCATTTGGGAAGGTAAGCAGTTAGAAGACATACAATTTGTGACTAATATCCACGGACAGAGTAATCCATGGAAAAAATGCTAATCGCTTTTTTAAGGCACCCAAGTTGGTGACCATCACTGTATCTTGTGACTGTGAATATCGTAGTTAAACTATGTGCAGTGTGAAGAGGTATTTGCCCAGTGGGGTGGATGACATTCTTGTTAGGGATGACTTCCCCCTACTGGAGACAGGCAGGGTCAAAGTACTGTAGATAATAAGCTGTGGTTCTAAATGGACCAGCAAGCCACTTTGAGGGGAGAAGGAAGAACTGAAGATGGTGTTAGAGCTGGACCCAGACTATCTGGACACTTTGAGGTACTGTTGGGGTTGACCCTTTTTAGCAAGCTAAGATATACAGTGGTACCTTTGGTTGCGAACGGGATCTGTTCTGGAGGCCTGTTCGCAACATGAGCAGAATGCAACCCACATCTGCGCGGGTCGCGATTTGCCACTTCTGCGTGTGCGCGTGATGTCATTTTGCGCATCTGCGCATGCGTGAGCGGCGAAACCTGGAAGTAACCCTTTCTGGTACTTCCGGGTCATCACGGGATGCAACCTGAAAACGCTCAACCTGAAGCAAACGTAACATGAGGTATGACTGTAATTATGTGTAAGCAACAACATATTTGCATATGCTGCTTTTCTTTTGTAAAATAAACTTTACAATTATTTTAAGCTGGTCCATTAGTGTCAGTTGATGGCTGGACTCCAGAAATGTAAGGTGGTAAGATTCCTGCTGAAAGGTACTGTGGCTACATTTTATACTGTCTTGCCAAAAGACCTTACAGTACTAACGAGATGAGCCCTACATCATATATCCCAGGCATATATGATGTACAGGGTATAATAATAACTGGGGCAACCCAGTCAAATGTACAGGGAATAATAATAATAATAATAATAATAATAATAATAATAATAATAATAATCAGCAGCAGCAGCAGCAGCAGCAGCAGCAGAAGCACCCTTATGTAGTTTGCAATGTCTGGCAACTTGCAAGCTTCCAGGCAAAAATAAAACCATTTATTTATGAAGCACTTGATCTTGATGATTATTACACCACAGAAAGTAATGCCAATTATGTGACAGCAAAAAAGGAGTATGCAGATGAGGAACGCAGAACATCTTATCCTCAATTTCCAGAAACAGAAGAGGGTTTAGCTGGGAGAGAAGCTGCATGGCAGTAAGCTGCTTCTGCACTCCTTATCTGTGGGTACCCTTTGCTTGACACCCCCTGCTTTCTAAGTGACTGGGACAGATCCAGCACATGGAACTGCTGGCATTATATCTATTTTAGTCCTCAGAGGTAATTTCTAGACTACCTTCCCAAGTAAGCTGGAGTCGAATTCTCATGGAGAAAGCTTAATTAGCCAAAACATAAATTGCCACAGTCCTAGATAATTGAACCACACTTTCTGTAATGAATATGTCTAGAGATGGTTTTTAATGTCGATTAGTACTATAAACTCTGATTATCCTATTTAAGCATTATTGGCTCCCCTCAGATTTCTAACT